AGACCCCACAAATATAGAATTTGTAGGTACTGTAATTAAGCAAAAATTTGAATTTAAGTAAAAAGAAAATTTAAGTTTGAAGTTTTTTTTCGTGTAAAATTAAATAAAATTTATTTTTAAAAATTTTTTTTCCTTACTGGGGATTGAACTCAGGGACTTGTGCTTGCGAGGCAGGTGTGGCACCACTGAGCTAAATCCCTGGCAACAATTTTTGAGACAAGGTCTCATTAATTTGCCCAGGCAAGACTCAAACTTGCAATCCTCCTGCCTCAGCCTCCAAGAGTGCTGAGATTATCAACAGGCACCACCATGCCCAGCTATAAGCAAGTCTTTTAACTTCTTCAGTCCTCAAATTCCTCATCTGTAGATGGGCTTATTATCTATTTCAAAGAACACATCTATCTATATTCAAAAAATGAAAATACTTGGTTCAGTTTCCAACATTTAGTAAATACCCAGTAAGTATGAACTACTATGATTATACTGGTAGTTAAAACATTTAAAACATTAATCTAATATATATAGGAATTTCCTGTCTCTCCATTATAACTTCCCTCGTTGACTGTAGGTAGAATACTGTGTAAAATGAATTTCAAAGGAATGTGCAGATTAAGGCTTTTTTGTTGTTGTTGTTTTTTTTGCTTTGAGACAGAGTCTTGCTATGTAGTTCAGACTGGCCTTAAACTATGTAGCTAGGCTGGCCTCAAACTCACAGTGATCCTCCTGCTTCAGCCTCCAGAGTTCTGGGATTATAGCCATGTGCCACCATGCCTGGCCAGATTAAGTATTTTTTGTTTGTACCAGAGATTGAACTCAAGACCTCTTGCTTGCCAGGCAGGTGCTGTGCCACTGAGCTAAATCCCCAGCCCTGGATTAAGTCTTTTTAAACTGATTGGACAGTGGTGTGTGCCTGTAGTTTAGCTACTTGAAAGAATTGTTTGAGCCCAAGAGTTCAAGACCAGGAGCAGCAACATCTCATAAAATAAAAAATAAAATTTCATTTTGAAAGATAATATTTTTAGGGTTAGGGATATAGTTCAGTACTACCGCTCTTGGCTATCATGTGCAAGGCCATAAGTTTGATCACTAGCATGGCAAAAAATACATTTTAAAAATTTTTTATCAGGGAAAAATAATAACTGTATCAAAGAACATTTGGAAAAGAGAGAAAAGCACCTATAATTTCACCATACTTATGCTGTATTTCCTTCTTATATTTTTTCCCTAATTGCTTTTTGTTCATTTGTTTTTGGTTTTTGTGGGTTTTTTGGTACTGGGGATCGAACTCAGGACTTTGCACTTTTGAGGCAGGTGTCAAAACCACTGAGCTAAATCCCAGGTCCTAGTTTGTTTCCTTGAGTCAGTGTCTCACTAAATTGCCCAAACTGGACTAGACTCAAACTTGTAATCCTTTCAGAGTACTGGGATTACAGGTTGAAGATTCTGTTTTATAAAAATATCCTTGAAGTAAGTAAAATCAATTATTTTCTTTTTACAGAGGCATTATTATGGCATCATTATAATGGTATATTTCAAATGCAAGGCAAGTCTCAAGTATATTTTACATATAATTATTTCAGAAAAATTAAGTAAAAAGGTATGTGTTTTACTGCTGTATTTCCATTTTTCTAAAAATTTGTGTTCTAACATCTATAGAATTTAATATTCTGCACTTTTCTGACATTATATCACAAGCCTTTTCTGTACTATTACATACAAGGAGGGCAGTATTCATAGTAACTAGATTTAGTTTAACTCAGTACTACTGTATGTAAAGAAACTAAGGCAGGTTGGGGTGTGATAAGTGAAGAACACAAAGTGAGTATGTCTGGATTGTCTACGAGTACAATGTAGGAAATGTAGACAAAAAGGTTAGAACCCAGGAATTCTAGCCTTTCAACCAAATGTATGTTAGCAAAAACATAGAATCAACAAAATCCTAAATTGTATATATTTTCTTTTTTTTAATAGACGGGAAAGTGATGGGATATTGTTCAACACCAAAGACTTCTTTATTTGAAGATATTATTATTGGGGTTTTAGCTTTCAAAATTGGGTAAATTACCCCCAAAGGGGTTTTTCTTTAAAATTTCACAAGGCATTGCAAAGCCTCACTTTATAGAACAAGCCAAGGTCTGGTTAGTTTTTTCAGTCAGTGGCATTTGCTGCTGGAAACAGGCTTTTATGTTTTAAATATGTTTTTGCCTTGACATTCATTACCTTCAGAGCACAGCTTTTTACTTTTAAACTTCTTTGTTCCTTTAATATTGTCCTGCAACAGGAATTCAAGTCACATTTTAAAAAACTGTACAGAATAGATGGAGGAAACAATCCACGCATCCGTTGCTGAATAAACAAAATAGGGTGCACACATACACAGGTGCACACACAATGGAATATTATTCAGTCTTAAAGAGGGAAATTCTTATATATGCTACAATATGAATGAACCTTGAAGACATGCTAAGTGAAACAGGCCAGTCACAAAAACACAAATACTGTATAATTCCACTTATATGAGGTACCTAGAAAAGTCAAATTCATAGAGACAGAAAAAGGGAATAGGCGGAAGATGGAAAGAGGAGTTATTATTTAATGCATACGAAGTTTCTGTTTTGCAAAGTGAAAAAGTTCTAGTGGTAATGGCTGCACAAAAATATAAATATACTTAATGCCTCTGAGCTGTGCATTAAAAATGGTTACAATGGTAAATTGTTGTTTTATCATAATTTAAAATTTTCCTCAATATTACATATCTAGGGAAAAGATCATTATTCCTATATAGTTTAACAAATTATAAAGCAACTATGTGTGATCACCACCTAGCTCAAAAAATAATATATTAATAAAGTGCACCCTTGTGTCCCTCATCAAAATCCTTTCTTCCTTCCTAACCACTACAATGTCTAACATTTGATTTAAAAAAATCAGACTGTGATGTGATAATACAAGATAAGTTAAATCGACACAAAACGCATTTAAATCTCAATATTTTCTGTAAATGCAAGAAAACCTTAAAAACTTTTAGTGTTCTTTCTCTCCTTTCTTCTCTCTTGAAACTTCACATTCTAAGACCTATTTTGGGTCTACAGCTGACTTCACCTGCAAGAGTTTAATTTAAAAAAATATTCAGTGTAGATTTTCATTCCTCCTTCTCTCCCTTGCCTCCAACTACAAAGAAACAATGATTTAAAGCCTTTGTGCCCTTTTAGAAAATTACACAGATACCCCATTGTGGAACCCTATAATCCCTTCGTGCAAAGGAAGAGATTAGCATATGAATACAAAGCAAAATGAATCCAGAATACAAAACGATCTACTGAATTGTGAAGCTCTTGTATTCTTAAAAACGTATTTATTTCCTCTCTTTGTATTGCCCCTTTAGTGGTCCCCAGGTTAAGGGAATTGCGTTTCCCTTCCGGTTACCAGAAAAAGGATTTTTTTTTTTAAAAGGCAACAGATTCTTCGAGGAGGTGCAAAATCAATAGATGGCTCCTAGCGCCAGTGGAATCTGCTACAATCGACCTGAGCTGGCTTGCCGGCGAGGAGTGTAGAAAGTGCTGTTCGCAGACTACGTGGTGAAGGAGAAAAGGCGACAGAAGAGAGAGCCATAGTGCTGACGTTGAAGGCCCGGCCCTGTGAGGTTGCACAGGGTAAGCGGCGTTGGCCAGGAGGCAGTGGAGAAGGGGGAAGGAAAGAGGATTTGGGCTAGGGGCGGGGCCTGCGGCACAGCGTGGCTTCTGATTGCTGGAGTGCAGATGCCAATCTCGCAGAATCGCTCGGTTAACCAGTGCGCTGGCGAGACGCGCTCAGATATACTGAGCGAGCTCGGAGAAGCAGTCTCAGATCCTGACGGTGCAGCAGCCCACAGCCTCAGTTAGGGAGTCCCAGCCGCTTTCAATGGAGGAGAAGCCCGGCCAGCCACAGCCTCAGCACCATCACAGCCACCACCATCCACACCATCACCCTCAGCAGCCGCAGCAGCAGTCGCACCATCACCACCATTATTATTTCTACAACCATACCCACAACCACCACCACCATCATCATCACCAGCAGCCTCACCAATATCTGCAGCATGGAGCCGAAGGCAGCCCCAAGGCCCAGCCAAAGCCGCTGAAACATGAGCAGAAACACACCCTCCAGCAGCACCAGGAAACGCCGAAGAAGAAAACAGGTCTGGGAGGAGGCCGGGTGGGGGAAGGGGATTGGGGGTGGGGGACGAGGAGATGGGGGTGGGGCTAGATCCGAAAAGCGCGGACGGGATCTGGGTGTGTGTGCGTCCCTCGAGCCTGGGGATGCCCCCTTTCATTCTCCCCAAGCTCTCGCAGGGCGGTGAGGGTTGCAGCGCCCTCTCCTTCCCTTCTGCATGGGAGAGGCCCAGCCCAGGCCAGCGTGACCTTCCCGGCCCCCGCCCCGGCCAGAGGGAGACCCGCGAGGTCGGCCTTGGAAGTCCAACCTTATGAACACCTTCTCGCCCACCTTCCTGCGGCCTTGGAGCGACCGCAATTTGGAGACCCTGAGACTGGGTGCTCCCCCCCCCCCCCCGAAAATCTCTCGCGGTGTAACTCGGAGAGGGCCGGCAAATCCCGACGCGGGTGGTGTCGCGAGACCCTTGCGGGCGGCCAGGTGGGCCGAGCTGAGGAAGTGTCGTCCCTCACCCGCCACCCCAAGCCCACCTGTGGCCTTAGGGCTCCCCTCTGAGGGGGGGGGACGGCTTGGACACTGAGTCTCTTGACTCATTTCCTCCCCTAAGGGCCTTTTTTGGGTGCTCGACCCCAAAGTCTACCTCAGCAACTTCTCCTGAGGCGGGAGCCCCAGACCCGCTCCCCCCAGAGCCGGCGCGGCTGGAATGTTCTCTCCTCCTCGCGGGGCCGCTTCCTGTCCGCCATGTTGGAAGCCGATTCCTGTCACCGACTCTGGCCCACTGAGGAGCGGAGGGGGAAGGGTGTCGAGGGGCCGGCGGCGCGGCGCAGCGGATGACCCGGGGCCCCCGCCGGCCTTCGCTTCGCCCCCAGCACCCAGAGGGCGCCTCCGTCCCCCTACTCCGAGGCCGCCCCTCCCCCCAGCGACTGCAGGGTTGTGTAACCCGGTGGCGGCCGCGCGGCCCCGGGCGGGTCCCTGGGGTGAGGGGCGGGGGCGGTTGGGGTGGGGGAGGGAAGCGGCCACGAGGGGAGCGGCCTGCGCTGGGCCGCGCGCGCCGCCGGCCGCGTTTCCCGCTCCCGGGTGCGGCGGTAGGCGCGGGCGGTCTGGGCGGTCTGGGCGGGGAGCCGGCCTCCCAGCAGAGCTGAGGGTGAAGGAGGCCCCGGGCGGCGGTCGCGGGCCTCCGCGGGGTAGGAGGGTTGGGGGGGCGGGGGGATTCATTTGGGGTAGAGGCGGTGCCTGAGGCCGGGTGGGGTACCCAGCGGGAACCAGGCTCCCGGTCACGAGTTTCTCTGCCACAGGATCCTCATATCCTGCCAGGTTCGCTCACGACTCCGCCTCTGAGGCTTTCATTTGGGCCTTTTCCTTCTAGCAGCTCATTTTCATCAAAAAACGAGGAGCCCCCCCCCCCCAACCTAGTTCCATCTATCTCCCTACTCAACCGTGTCTGCCAGACTTGGGTAGTGTCGAGGCTGGGGAAGGGATTAAACAAATGTTTGATTGGATGGAGAAGGGAGTGACCCCTCTTGTCACTAAGGGTGAACTGGAGTGACGACTCCATGAGGTTGGATCGCTACTGTCTTGCCTCAGAGGATGCTTTTTTCCGTGTTAAAAACGCAAGGTGTTTTTCAAATTTTACAACGGAGGTCGATATCTTAAATTCATAATTCTGACAAACGTTAAATTGGAGATAGAAATCAAGCGAGGAACAATATTTGAGAAATAAGTTTAAAAGTTCATAATCTCACAGATTTTTAAAACCTTTATAAGTTGAGAAATAAAGGGAATGATAAGGAAGAATGTGAATAGTTATTGAGAGCTAGAGAGACGGCATTTCTTTGTAGACTTAATGTAATTTGAAGATTGTAATTTGAATGTCATTTTTCCATTTTGAGGTTTTATGGTATGCAATAGTGAGCACGTGGGTTAGGTGTTTAATCCTAAAGGCTTGGACCAGCTTAACTATTAACACTAGGTCATTTTAACAGATTTTTCAAGAACGTGAGAAGATACTACCTTATGCTTGCTTGGAATATAAGGCAATAGTATTGTTTAGGTTTAAAAATTGTGTTAAGTTAATGTTTTCTTGCAGGACTCTTCTGTATTGCAGCAGCCCCTGAACCATTCAAAGTGGGGTCCCTCAAAATGTTTTACCCTGTAGTAAAGAATAAGAAGGAAACTAGGTTTAGCAATTTTTAGAGAATGTAAACAATTTGGGTGAGTAGTTTGTGTATGCCGTGGTCACACAGTACTGTTGCTTCAATGTGTACAGTGCTAGTAACAAAAAACTTTTTGGACTGTATTACACTACGTTAAGGTGGGCTTTCATGACCCATTACCCGCAAACCTGTAAGAAGGAGCTGTTTTTCTTTATCCAGAAGAGGGCGCAAGAGATCAAATGTTTTGAGTAATTTCAGTTTCTAATCCAAAAGCTAGATTCATCAGGACTCAAGTTTTGCTGAGTCTATTTGAAATAGGATTAGCAAGGCAGCGCTAAATAGCAAAACCAACAGGAATCCTTGAGTTTATTTCAATAATTCTCTATTGTTTACATTTTTCTTAAATACCTAAACTTTAGCAAGCAATTCTCTGGTATACTTTTTACAGAGTTGCCATGGGGGCGGGCAATATATAGTTAAATGAGAAATTTGTTACGTGGTGGGAATATAGTGGCTTTTGAACTTTTTTATTGGTGATGTCTGATGTCTTAGCCATCTAATAGTAACCTTAGAAGAAATTATTCTAGTTCACTTAGAAGTCTGGTTTAGTTCAATTTGGTTTGGACCGAGAATTTTTTGTGTGATTGCTCACCTTTGAGATGGGAAATATGATTTATAGTCCAGCTCTGTGGGGCATAAACATCTGTTTAACGTGTTAACTTATTACTATGTTAAGTGGTGTTGATAAAGGGTAAATTTACATCTGTGAAAAATGTTGAGTCTCTGTTTAGAAATTTTCTAAAGAATCTTTTAGAAGATTCCTAAGCATTGGAATACTAAGCACTTAGTATTTCATACTGTACTTGAGTTTTTTGAGACAGGGTCAGACTGGCCTGAAACTCAGTCCTGCCTCAGCCATGCAGAGTGCTGTGATAGGATTATAGGCATGTGTGACCACACCTGGTTATAGTTAAAATTTTTCCACCAAAAGTTTTATTTGATCAGCTATCCATATAACTTATTCAGTAGCCAAAAACAGACATGTAATGCTATAGAATTTCACCCATTTTGTGCCTATTTTGGGAATGATTATGTATTGAGTATGGTTTGTTTTTTTTTAATCACACAGTAGAAGAAAATATCTTTATTCATTTTGAATATTCTCATTTTCTTTGATGTAGAATGAGTGACTTAAATTTTAGTCAGTATTGTTGTGAATCTTCCTAGGCTGTTCCACATCAAGTTATTTCAGAGCAGTGGTTATCAACATGTAAAACAAAAACCAACCTCATTATCCTTATTATTACTGCTGTTAAAATTAAGGACTTGTGCTGGGCTGATGGCTCATACTAGTCAACCCAGACTGAGGCCAGGAGGCTTGCTGTGAGTTCAAGGCCAGCCTGGATTATACAGCAAGACCTGGCTCAAGCTAAAAACCTCTTAAGCTGTATTGATGGGGGTTCTATTGATTGATATTTACCATATAGGAAATTAAAATTGAGAAAATTCTTTTAAAAATATACCAACTCATGTGTCTTAGTTTTCATAGGCCAAATGCCTAAAAGCATGAACGAAAGTGTTAAAGGTGAATAATTTAGTATTCTTTTTAGCCATGCACCTTGAAAAACTGCCTTAAATGAACATATTGGGCATCTGTTTGTAATGGCTTGACCTCAGGATGCTTTGTGAACTTTGATAGAAAAGTGGATAACACATTTTACTAGTAAGGGAATGGGGAAAGTTGTGACTCAATTAAATCACTGTGGTAATAGTTAATTGTTTATGTTTTTAGTGGTTGAAGTCTACTTTTATCTGAATACCATTAACACTTTTTAAAATCAAATTCCTTTCTTTGGAGTTCCGTTAGTATATATTTTCTCACTGCATCTTTTGAGTGTGGTGTGGTGTTGGTGATAGGAAACCTTGGGTCCCAGATAGCCTGGAGTTCAGATTTCCAGTTCTTCCACTTTGTGACCTGGGCAAGTTACTTTATCTCTGAGAGTCTACTTACCCAAATGTAGAATAAAGAAAACATTTATTTTTTTATTTTACTTTATATTATTTTATTTTATTTATGCAGTGCTGGGCAACAAATCCAGGACCTCTTGGCATGCTAGGCAAGAAGTACTGTACCAGTTGAGCTACATGCCCAGTCCTGAAACATATCTTTTTTTTTTTCCTCCCAGTTCTCTTAACACAGTAGGCAAATGCTATACCATTCAGCTATGCCAGCTCTAACCTTTTACTGTTTCTGTATAAGTAAAGTTAGGTTTATGCCTAGAGGGTAGCTTTACTGTAAACTGTAAAGAAAATTTTATAATGTCCTTGAGGGAATGAATGGTGTGTAGATGGATTCTGTTGAGCAGTATTAGGGCTTACTGATTAAAGATCTTGTTCTCTGATCTCAGACACTGGTTTGAATCATGTCTCAGTTCCACCTTTTTGCTTAGCAGTAGTAAGTTTCATTTTCTAATCTGTAAAATGTTAAACAGGTGTGAAATAATACCAAAGCTACAGCTCAGTATAGTGTCATATAGTAAATAAACAGTCCTAAAATATTAGGTACTACTGTGATTTAAATGTGGTAATTTTAAAGTTTTTTTTTTTCTCTCCCTCAGGCTATGGTGAAATAAACGGTAATGCTGGAGAAAGAGAAATATCTTTAAAGAACTTGGGTTCTGATGAAGCTACCAACCCTATTTCCAGGGTCCTTAATGGCAACCAGCAAGTTGTTGATACTAGTCTGAAGCAGACTGTGAAAACTGGCACCTTTGGGAAGACAGGAATTAAAACTAAGAATTTCATTCAGAAAAACAGTATGGACAAAAAGAATGGAAAGTCTTACGAAAATAAATCTGGAGAAAACCAGTCTGTAGATAAGACCGATACTGTAGCAATTCCAAATGGTGTTGTAACAAATAATTCAGCCTATATTACTAATGGTTATGTGGGCAAAGGCGCAGATAATGATGGTAGTGGATCAGAAAGTGGATATACCACTCCTAAAAAAAGGAAAGCTAGGCGCAATAGTGCTAAGGGTTGTGAAAACCTTAATTTAGTCCAGGACAAAATAATGCAACCAGAGACTAGTGCCCCACCCTTAAAACAGGGACTTGAAACTTTCAAGCCTGACTATAGTGAACAAAAGGGAAATCGAGTAGATGGTTCAAAGCCCATTTGGAAGTATGAAACTGGACCTGGAGGAACGACTCGAGGAAAACCTGCTATGGGTGATATGCTTCGTAAAAGCTCAGATATTAAATCTGGTGTGAACAAGAAGTTTGATGATCGGCCCAAAGGAAAGCATTCCTCGGCTGTTGCCTCCAAAGAGGACTCATGGACCCTATTTAAACCACCTCCAGTTTTTCCAGTGGACAATAGCAGTGCTAAAATAGTTCCTAAAATAAGTTATGCAAGCAAAGTTAAGGAAAACCTCAACAAAACTGTACAGAACTCTTCTGTGTCACCATCTTCATCTTCATCCTCTTCATCATCTACTGGGGAAACTCAGACCCAGTCTTCAAGTCGATTATCCCAGGTCCCTATGTCAGCGCTGAAATCTGTTACTTCTGCCAGTTTTTCTAATGGGCCTGTTTTAGCAGGGACTGATGCAAGCGTGTATCCTCCAGGGGGTCAGCCACTGCTAACGACTGCTGCTAATACGCTAACACCCATCTCTTCTGGAACTGATTCAGTTCTACAGGACATGAGTCTAACTTCAGCAGCTGTTGAACAAATTAAATCTAGCCTTTTTATCTACCCTTCAAATATGCAAAGTGTGCTGTTGAGTACAGCACAAGTGGATCTGCCCTCCCAGACAGATCAGCAAAACCTGGGGGATATTTTCCAGAATCAGTGGGGTTTATCGTTTATAAATGAGCCCAGTGCTGGCCCTGAGACTGTTATTGGGAAGTCATCAGATCATAAAGCGATGGAGGTGACATTTCAAGGAGAATATCCTGCCACTTTGGTTTCACAGGGTGCTGAAATAATCCCCTCAGGAACTGAGCATCCTGTGTTTCCCAAGGCTTATGAGTTGGAGAAACGGACTAGTCCTCAAGTTCTGGGTAGCATTCTAAAACCTGGGACTACTAGTGAGAGTGGAGCCTTATCCTTGGAACCCAGTCATATAGGTGACCTGCAAAAAGCAGACACCAATAGTCAAGGTGCTTTAGTGTTTCTCTCAAAGGACTATGAAATAGAAAGTCAAAATCCTCTGGCATCTCCTACGAACACTTTGTTAGGCTCCGCCAAAGAACAGAGATACCAGAGAGGCCTAGAAAGGAATGATAGCTGGGGTTCTTTTGACCCGAGGGCTGCTATTGTATATCACACTAAAGGTAATTCATTTCTTTCTATACAAAAATTCTTACTAACCAGTTTATATGTGGTGTTGGCAATAAGTAAATTTTGAAAACTATGTAAGAGATTCTGAGATTTTTCAGAGCTTAGTTGAGAATGACTGGATAGCCATCTAGTGTCAAACTCATAATTCAGGATCTTTGGAAATAGTATTAAAATTTTAAAATGTTCACTTTTCCAACTTAAGAGCATTTATTTTTATATAGACAGGTATAACTGACCTTCTGTCTAGTTCAAAGCATAGAGGTACGGGGGGAGGCAAAGGACTTGCCTAAAAGGATGATAATATATTTCGTCTTGAACACCTACAATAAGAGTTAAAAATATATTCTTCAAACATATTTCCCTGCTGCTTAGTGAAGTGTTTTTTGTTGGGGGGGGGGTGCCAGGAGCTCGAACGCAGGACCTTGTGCTTGCAAGGCAGGCACAGTGCCACTGAGCTAAATCCCTGGCCCCTTAGTGACGCATTTAATAGTTCAATTTGCTTAAAGTGAGGAGGAACAGCTTTTGAGGAGGGTCCAAAAAAGGTCCATTTACTGTATAAAAAGGAATAAGGATGCTGAATGGTAACTAGAAAGTAATTTAGACAAACTACAGTGGCAAGCACATTTATTCATCAGTGCTATAGAGAACAGGCTCTTTGGATTCAAGCCCATGTGAAAGAGATCTATGCTGAATGCAGTGAGGACTTAGGAGGCTGAGGCAAGAGGATTGGTTGAGCCTAGGAGTTAGAGGCCAGTCTGGAGAGTTTATCAAGACTGTGACTCTAATTGGAAGGGGGAAAAAAATTACCAAGTTTCATGCTAATAACTTTTAGAATGTGATTATCTATAAAGAATTTGGTGAATGGCATAACTAATTTAAATCCTTAAGAGCAAATAATGAGGTTAAGTGAATGATTCTGCTTTTGAGAACAGTGGTTTTCAGTCTTAACACCCCTTCCACCTCATCTGTCCTTCCTCACAGCAACACCCTTTAGTCAGTGACTTACAACTGCAGGAGCTGGGAACATACCAGATTGTAGGGATGAGGTAATTGCTGATTCTCCTTGGACGAGATCATTGCTTCAGAGATGAATAGCAAAGTTGTTTGTGACTTTTCAGCATATTACCTAGTTTTCAACTCAAGTAAAAATAAGCATGTTTTTGTATATTTTTTCCCTTTAAAAAATGGGAATAAATAGTAGGATCTATTTATGGAAGTTATGAGTAGATAGCCTGGCAGATAAAATTTGCCAGTCTTGGAAGTAAATGGGAGTTAACACAGGAGCTGGATGTTTTTAGAAAAGTAGGCCCCAAAAAAGTTTTTAGTGTTAGGATGTATTTAATTATATGTAAGTTAAATTCTGTCAGGAGAGTTAAAAGTGTCTTGTACTTCTGTCATTGTGTGAGCCTGCGGATATCTCAATGTGTTATATTCTCGCACCATCTCTAAAAAAATTGAGATATTACTCCATTAGGTGGTGATATATATGATTTTATTTTTTAAAGAGATGGGAGCCTTATTACTTTGTCCAAGCCAGCCGCAAAGGATTTTTTGTGTAAATTTGCAGACCCTTTTAAATAGTACAGTATTGATTTGTTTTTCTAGTTATTCTATTTTCATTTTTCTTGTAGATAGGCAAAATAAGTATGAAATTAATGGTTGAGGTAAACAAATGTTGACTTTGCTGGTGTTATTGAAAAGTTTTGTTTTGTTTTAATTTAGTACAGTGGATTAACTTGAATTTTGTAGTTTTTAAAGTTTTCCTAAACCTTAAAAGAAGTAATAATCAGTTGGATTTACTGGAATATTAAAACCACCTGTATTTTCTTAGTTTAATGTTCCTGCATGTCCAACTTTTGGCCTGCCTTGGCCACAGTGATTGAAGAGGAGTTGTCTAGAGTTAAATTTAAAATATATAATGCAGTTAATTTCTAGTCACTTTAAAAAAAAAAAGCACTATTCTTACTGAAGTGTCAAAACACACTTCCAAATTGCCGAAGGGCCAGTTTTGTTTTGTTTTGTTTTTTCAGTACTTGGAACTGATTGCAGCACCACACTGAGCTAAGGATTCTACTTTTGCAGCTTTAAGTGCTGAAGATTTTTAAAAATCTAAATATTCAGCATGAAAAGATACAATAAAGCATAAAAAAGGACTGCCGGAAATTCTAGTTTTGGGGATTTTTCTTCTAGTTTTTTAGATGATGCCACTAACTTTCCTGAAGAAATGACTGTTGGAGGTGAAGGTGCTCAGTGGGAGAGAGCACTTGCCTAGCATTAAGAAGGCCCTCCTTTCTATCCACAACATTGCAAAAAAAAAAAACAAAACAAGCTTATTTATTTATTTAAAAAGCAAGGGTTTATTGTGTTGCCTAGGTGTGCCTTGAACTCTTGGGCTCAAAAGATCCTGCTTTAGCTTGGCTAGGACTACAAGTACAGGCTGTACTTGAATACTTAGTCATCAGATAGGCGTAGTGGTGCTTGCCTGTATCCCCCACCACTCAGGAGTCTGAAGCATGAGGATCACTGTGAATTCAAGATCAACCTCAACTACATAGTGAGATCCTGTCTCAAAATATCTTTTTTTTTTTTTTTTAATCCCACGTTTATAGGTAGGGTTTTTGGGTAGGAGAGATGCAGTCCTTTTTGGTTTTTTTAATTGTAAAATGCTTATAAATGTATCATCGTAGCCATCTTTAAGTGTAGAGTTCAGTGGTTTGTGTTTTTTTTGTACTGGGGATCGAACGCAGGATCTTGTGTGCTTGCAAGGCAGGCGTTGGCACTACTGAGCTAAATCCCCAGCCCTTTTGTTTTTTTGAAGTAGGATCTTGACCATACTTTAGGCTGGCTTCAAACTCAGAGTGATCCTCCTGCCTTAGCCTCCCAGTGCTGGGATTGCAGGCCTCCATGCTCAGCTCAATATCATTACCCCTCACCCCTTGTCCCCTCTGTATTTTGGATAGAACCCAAGGCCTTCTACATACACACTCTATCACTCAACGACACTTCTAGCCACTATTTTGTCTTTTAGTGACTGGCTATTTCCTATAGGCAAAACATCCTGAAAGTTCATTCCTGTTGGTAGCATATGTAAGAACTTCATTCCTTTTAAAAGCTGAATAATATTCTGTGTATGTTATATATCACATTTATTCATTTATCTAGGATGGACACTTGAGTTGCTCCACAGTTTAGCTATTGTTAGTACAGAAATGCTGCTGTGAGCATGGGAGTAGAAATAATAACTTTGAGACCCTACTTCCAATTATTTGGGGATTTATACCCAAAATTAGAATTACCAATAATAGGGTAATTCTGAGTTTTTCAGGAATTGTACTGTTTTCCACAGCAGCTGTTTTTACATTGTGCCACCAACTGTTCGAGGGTTCCAGTTTCTCGACCTCCAGAATAGCTGGGATTACAGATACATATCCTCACTTCTGGTCCTGGATATACTTTGTTGAGATTTAGGGGCTCTCTGTATGTTCTGGACTTCGTTTTCAGATAGGATTTCTAAATGTTTTCTCTCATTCTGCAGATTGTCCTTTTTTTCCCCGCTCCCAGTGTTGGGGATTGAACCCAGGGCTTTCATGCAGAGCTACATCCCAGCCCATTTTTATTTTGAAACCATGTCTTGCTAAGTTTGCCTAGGCTAGGCTCAAACTTGTGATCCTCCTTCCCAGCTGACAGTGTCTTTGATGCACAATATTTAAAAATTCTCAGGAAGTCTGAGAATCTTTTTTTTTAAATCTTTCTCTTTTGTAGCCTGTGCCTTCGTATTCTTAAAATTGCAGTATCATAATATTTTACCAGTCCATAACTTTGCAGTTGTTTTTGGTACTGGGGATTGAACACAGGGCCTTCCATGTGCTGAACAGATGCTCTACCACTGAGCTAAACCCCTAGTGTATTGGAATGATAGCTCTTACTGCACATACCCAGGACATGGAACTGTTGCCTCTTTGAAGTATTTAGGATGCCTATTTTAGTGAAATTCTCTTTGAATTGTCTTCAAAGACTTCTAACTCCAGATCCTAACTTTTGGAGGTGAAGCTTTAATTTTGAAATTGTCTAGTACAGTATAGTCACTTGAAACAAAATCCTGTGAAATTAAGAGATTGATGTGAGTTGTGTGTTTGGTTGAAATGTTCATTTTAAATTGAGTTAATGTATCTTGCCCAGATAATTTTGCACTGAAGCACATCAAGCATTCAGAATGCTGACATTTTGTAATCATTAAAAAATAATCAGATATGGTAAATTTGACTTAAAACACAGAGGCGAGGGAGATATATAAGGTTTTTTATTCTTGATGGTTGAGAAAGCAATTTATGAGTGCATGAGAATATTTAAGGACCAATTGTAAAAAGTTTTTAATGTTTTGTGAAATATGTACAATACAAATGTAAGGTTAATAACCCATTCCTGCTGACCTGTACCATCATGGTTCAGGCTGCCTGCCAGCGAGTGAGATGTATAAATTCCTGCCTCATAGTGAATGTGTTAAGATGATAGCACTAGAGATAGGTAAGAGCCCTAAATGAACCACTTTGGAGGATCAGTAATGTAAAAGTTCTGTTCTCTTTCTTTCATCATCAAGGTACCTTTTCTGTAGATGGGAAAGTTACCAGTACAAAATACTCCTTAGGCATCTATTGAATGAAAAAAAAATTTTTTTTGGTACCGGGGATCGAACTTGGAACCTTGCACTTGTGGGGCAGGCAGCTGAATGAAATTTTGAACATTTGTTTCTTTGATACGTACCCAGGTGGTATGATATTGGCATAGACAGTTTGATTCATTAGATTTGGGATAGGCCTAGGAATAAAAAGAATTAACTCAGTAGTGGTTCTGATTGTCAATTGCAGGTGAGATCTGTGACTCTTAAGAGCTTTCCTTTTTCTTTGCTCTACCACTTGTATACTTATCTCTCTGCCATAGTTTCCTTTAAAGAATTTAATCAAGTAGAGGAGAAAACAATACACAAGTGTATAAG